CTCTCTCTCTCTCTCTCTCTCTCTCTCTCTCTCTCTCTCTCTCTCTCTCTCTCTCTCTCTCTTCCTCTCTCTCTCCCCCTTTTCCCTCCTTCCTCCTCTCGACCCCTCTTTCGCCCCCCTTTTCTACTTTGCCTTCTCCCTCTCCCTCTCTCCCGTTCCCTCACTTGGCATATGACTAACCCTTCTCCCCTCACTTGGAAACATTGCCAGGGTACGGACGGTAAACGAAATCAGACTTCACTTGGTGGAGGAAGAGGGCAAGGGGAGGATAGCCGGTCCCTTGTGCCACCAAGGAGGCAAAAGAGAAAGGACGTTTGGAAAAGTGGGAGAAAGACGGAATCCGGGAGAGAACATAAGTTGAAAGTGAGGTCAGTTTGACTCAACCATTTCCCCGACTGCATGACTATGAGAAGAGAGTAGGCTGATTGAGCAACAAGGGGGAACAAAGGGCAACCAAAGAATTTGGAAAGATAGGCATGTGGGAAGGGCTATGTATTGACCCCCAACGGGGGATTGTATGGATCTTCTTTCTTGTGTGGGATTGTGCAGGTGAGTGATGGCTAGAAATGCCTTGAGCGGGATGGGGGCGAGAGGAACCGGGCACCAAGAGGGAAAGGGAAGAGGGACAAAGAGGCTATGGGACCCTGGACATAGAGCCAACCCATGGAAATGACTTTGCGCTTGAAGACTTGGAGTGTAAATGAGAGTGCAATCGTACCAAGGAAAATGTGATGTTGTGTGTGCATGCATATGAGGACCCCGAAAAGACTAAGGGGCCTACTTCAATAAGGAAGAAAGCAAATTATGAGACCCGATGGATGCGTAGAGGCGAGGGAGAGGACGGCTCCGCCGTGCCCCGATGATGCCATATAGCCACAATGTTTAGGGAAATGGTGCGTGGCCTAAGGATGACGCTTAGCCAATGCACAAGAGAAGAGAAACACTCAAAGAATCCTTGGACTGCCTGCGCATTGGAAGGAGCAATTGCATGAGAACACAAAAAAAAATAAAAAAAATCAGAGTCGCGGAAGACCAGGGAGACTATCAACTGGCGTGAGGGCTGAGCTACATCCCCAATGTCAAAGCTCTCTCGCGCGATGGCCCACCCCCATCCATCTCAAAGCACTAGGTGGGGGTGACCTCGGGACGAAACAGCCCGCGCCCTGAGCATGAGCGTGGGCGGGCCGAGCCAACTGGGACCCGCAATGGGGTCGACTAAGGCTCGAAAGTCTACCGGGGCTTGGCCCTACAACGTTGCAATGCGGTTTCGGCAATCGACCGATCGGGGGAACGGGCATCCACTGGAAGTCCGTGAACGTCAACGGGTCGAGCTCTTCAAGTCTTGACCATGACGTCGAATCCCTGGCGATAGATTGCGGCGAAGCTGCCGAATCGGTTGGCGATGGTGATGAAACCGTGCATGCGGTAGATTATTGCACGTGAGCGGTTGGTCCAATGGTGGGACCAAGTGGACAGCATAGTCCTCGTAAGTATACCAAGTGGCTAGCAAGGCGGCCGAATCTGGCGGAGTGGGAGGTGGAGTCACCTCACCTCCCGCAAAACTCAGTTTCCCGAGCTAAGACGAGGCCGCACATCCTCCTTGGCCTGATCCTGGCAAAGGGAGGTCTTGTGCTTGGTGGTGTTGCACCAGTAACAGCAGCCGTAACGGTCGCGGTACTTGTACTCGGCCTCGGTCAAGTTGAACCTGACCCATGCTGTTGGCTGTCCGTTTCTGGCCTGCGATGTTGATTTCGCCTTCCCATTACCTCGACACTTGTTGCTTCGCGGCTGGACAACAGCCACCTGATCTCCCTCACGTGATGCTTGGGCGGCTACTGGGTCTTCTCCACTGTCCGATTGGACTGCAGCGACATGCTACGGCCGCGGACCAGTCTTTACCTTCTCCACATAGGTCAGCTGCCATGTTGATCTCTCGTGTGCAGCCGCCCTGTTGGTCTTGATGATCTCCCTCGCCTTGTCAATGATATCAGCGAAGGTTGCATACTGCTCGCAATCTTCCAGTGCAGGGCTCAACGCAGCACATGACCTGTTGTTGAACTCGCGGCGCAGATGCGTAAATGGCAAGTCGAGATCGGGCGATGACGCGATCTTCTGCCATTCCGTGAGCCAGTCACGTGTTGCGGTGTTGCCTTGTGTCATGTTAAAGAGACAGTTGATGGCGAGTGGAGGTGCGTCGTCCACGATGAACCGCTTCTTCCACAGTCGTGTTAACTCTTCCCATGAGATCTTGTCTTTCAGATCTGCGACGTCGACACCGTGGGTGGATGCTAGGTGGGTTAATCAGATCTGGCATCCGCCTTTTGAGTTAAGAAACAAGGCGCCGATGTACGTGTGCTTGGCGACGAACAGAATCCGCAGTTGCGTCGTAAAGCCTTCCCACCAGAGTACCGGGTCTTGATGCGTGTAGTCATCGAACTTCTCAATCTGGAAAGTTGGCATCTTGTAATACGTTGTGTTGTTGCCTTCCTTGTTCGGCAACTGCAGTTGCTGGACCTCGATCTTCAAGGTATCCATTCGACTGCTGATGGTGGTTGGCGCAGCAAAGGTGCTGATGTCGCCGAGCATTGCGACGACGTGGTCGACGGGTTCCTCCAGTTGGCGGTTAGAGGGTTCACTGCTGGACACACCAGCATCTGGTCCTGGTACAGCTTGCTCCAGGTCCAGTACACGGGAATTGAGTGCCCGTGTAGCATCCTCGTGGCTCTGCACTGTCCGGCGGAGGTTTGCCAACTCCTGGTGCTGTTTCTTCAGATTCTGGTACTGTTGCTGCAGTTCCTGGTTCTGGCTCTCTAACTCGGACTGTTGATAGTTGCAAGCGTATAACAACCGTGTCACGAGTTTGGAGAGGAACTCCTTGTGCTGCTCCTCTGGTATCGCGTCATCGCCGTTGGACGGTTGAAAGTGTCAAAACTTGAGTCTTTCGATGCTGGCAGCTTCATGCCGCTGCAGCAGATCCTGGGCCTCCTTGCGGCGTGCCTGGGTATCTGCGTCTGCTTCGGCCTGTAGCCGCTGCTTCTCAGCTTTTGCCGCTGCTTCAGCCAGTAGGCGGGCAGCCTCGGCTGCCAGCTGGCGCTGATCCTCAGCCTCGATTAGTGCGAGCTGAGTCTGGAACCCCTGTTTGTAGTCGGCAATAGACTCGTTGGCCAGTTGGCCTGGCATGCCCAGAGCTGCGCCCGTCATGGTGGCGGGGCACTGCTAACGTGGCATTGTGACGTGGCACTGTTACTGCTGACGTGGCACTGCTGACGTGGCACTGCTCACATGGCACTGTGTGACGTGGCACTGCTGACGTCACTGTGTGACATGGCACTGCTGACGTGGCACTGTACCAACCCGGAAATGCATGAAAAGGGGTGGGTGGGAGGGAAAACGTAGGTAGGCAACCAACCCAACAATACTTTCCTCCGGCCCTAATCAACAGATAACAAATAATAATAAAAAAATAAAAGAGGACTACTTCCCTTTTTTTTTCTTTTTTTTTTTGTATATCTGTCGATCTGGTTTGAGTGAGACATGTCAGAAGAGTACTATGACGAGATCTAGGATGGCTTCCGCAAAGTTTCGGCTTTTACAAAATGCGATCTTGAAAAAAAAAAATTGAAATGGAGTAAAGATGCGATTTTTAGAAAAGAACGCAATCCCGATTCTGAGAATATGGCAACCTCCGAATATGCCTAACGAAATGTTGGTAGGCTTCGCAAGATTTCGGTTTTCAAAAAAAAAATTGTGAGATAGAATGAAAATTCGATTTTCAGAAAAGAATAATTCCGGTTTCCGAGAATATGACCACTTCTATCGTTATCCCAATATGCCTAGAAAACGAAATACTAACATCAGAAAATTTCAGCTATGTATGCGAAATATCAGAGAAACGAAATGCTACTATCAGGAATTTTCAGACAAAACGAAATGTGATTTATCATAAATTTCAGATAGTTGTTGCGATATTTTTTTTTCCCAAAGATTTGACGAAGTCCTTCTTGATTTACTGATGAGTTATCAATAGATTAAGCAAGCTGGCTACTTGATTGAGCGGGTCCTCTGAATGAGAGGTCCGCTCCGATACCAAACTGTTGCATATTGTAACGGTGCAGACCAGAACAAGAACCGACCTCTCAATACAAAATACAAGATAGCGTAGCGAAAGACTTAGATACCAATGATCCGAACAATCAATATTGCAATGCAGCCCTGAACACACATCATCATCATCGTTCCATGGTGTGAAAGGGGTCTGGTGCTTCACACAGGAAGACTGCGCCAGCCCCAACCATACACAGACGAAGAAGAAAGGGGTTAGACGAAGAGGAGGGGAAGATGGGAATGTCGTCAACACCAAGTCTTCGGCACAGGCCCAAATAGTCCCTCGTCAAATGTCTGAATCCCAAATGTCGAGTCGGGATCCAATGTCGTCAAGTCCCAAGTCACAACTCTCTCTCTCTTAGAAGTCAGGCGGTTAGAGGGGAAGAAGAGATGGTGGACATAGAAGAGGAAGAAGAGGAAGAAGAAGAACTCTCTCTCTCTCTCTCTCTCTCTCTCTCTCTCTCTCTCTCTCTCTCTCTCTCTGTGTGTCCAGTACTAACCTGTGAAGATGGCGCCTTGATGCAGGTACCTCGAAGATGGAGCTGGAGCTATGGCGCCACAGGTAAGTCTCGCTGGCCTCCGCCAGCCATCTCTCTCCCACACTACCACTACCGCCTACTATCGCCCAGCGCTGAAGACTACTGCTATGGCTACTAGCGCCCAGCGTTGAAGACTACTGCTAGCGCTAAGCTACTCCTGGCAGCGCTCCTCCTGAGGGCTGCGGCCAAATCCTGAAGACTACTCGTCCTACTGTCCAACTACCTACCTGGGAAGTGCGTGGGAAACCCCTACGTACTACTCGGCCTGGACTGGCTGCAGGCGAGGCAGCAGTCCAGGAGGCTGCTCTTGCCAATGCCAAAGGCAGTCGGGCTGCCGCTGCAGCTCCTGCTCAAGGCAGTCGTGGGAACACTCTAAAGATTCCGAAAACCCTGGTTTTGTGCCTGAGGTTTAGGGTAGGTCGATCTTATGAGGGCCCGAAAGTGGCCCTCCGTTTCAGGCTGAAAAACCTCAGGGCTGAAAAGCCCTGATATAGGCTGAAAACGAGATAGGGCCTGCAGGCCCTCGTTTTCAGTTTCAGGCTGAAACGACATGGGGCCTGTAAGCCCTATTTTCTAGGCTTTTAGGCTGAGAATCCGGGACAGGCCCTGCAGGGCCCGTGTGGCTATGCAGTATGCCACACCAGATGACTTATAGGGACATCCCGAAGCCAAGGGACAGGCTGACCAGATGAACCGAAAGGTGCAACATCTGTTGAGGCATTACATAAAGCCCAACCAAGATGACTGGATGAGAAGTTACCTCTCATCGCTAGTTTGTACAACAATGATGTACACAACACAACCGACGTCACTCCCAACCAGCTGCACTTGGGATGGAATCCTAGATCTACTCTAGATTCCTCCTGCCTGAAAACCGAACTGCTGCAACTCCTGGAACCATAGAGTTTGGTGTCCAGTATGAGGAACTGCTGCAGCAGACTGTCGAACACAACAAGAAATCTCAGGACGCAATGATCGCTTTTGAGAACAAGCGTCGCCGACAGTCCATATTTCAGCCAGGGGAATGTGTCTAGGTCAAGGTTAGTGAATTGGGACAAGAGTTCGACATAATGTCTCAATATTTCGGTCGCCGGGAAGTCTTAGACATTGTGGGTAGTGATTTCGATGGTGCTTCGTACGTGATTCGAATCCCTGGTCACGTACACACTTACCCTATGTTTCACGCCTCAAAGCTTGCACCTTTTGCTAAGGCACAACAATTCCCATCAAGGAGATCAATGCTGCCCCCAACCATGGATGGTCACGTGGACGTCAACAATATCCTGCAACATAGAGACATGCCTGTTCCCAAGCCAGCTGGACGAGGAAGACCGCCTAAACCTATGAGCAAGTACCAGGTACAGTTCAGGCATCATACGGATCCTAAGGAAGATCAATGGTTCACAAGAGAGGAACTTGTCAAGACAACTCCTCGGATTGTGGCCGAGTACGAGCGAAGAATGAAGGGGAAGGCACCAACATGAAGCATTTCAGCGGACTTTCGAAGCTAAGGCGGATGAAATGCGAGTAATGAGCCCACACAGGGCCCTTATCAAACATGCACATGTTCTGGGCTGAGGCCCTCAGCAAGCCCCATGCCTTAAGTGACGACGGGCCTGAATATTCACCAGAGGTCAAAATTTGACATTTTCCAGATGTGGGTACTCAGGAAGTTGCAGCACTGCAGTTGGTTGAGAGGAAACGTGAACTTCCTGTGCTGCGCCGTACAGTTGGGCCCATGCCTTGGTAGTTGCGTCGGGCCACACACACACAATGCAAGGCAGATACATCACGAAGTGGCTACGGGCCTACAAAAAAGCAACATTGTTGACGTACATACCCCGGGTCCTGTGCAAATGCGGCAAACAGCCCAAGTCTGGAAATCCTGGGCGTGCCCAACCCAAAAGGGCCCAAGCTCTCAACTTAAGAGTTGGGCCTGGGCGCAGGCACAGGGGCCCGACCGGAAGCTATTGGAAGCTTCCCAGCCAGCCACAAACAGCTAAACAGAGGCTACCTCTTCCATATAGGAGGAAGGGCAGCCAAAGTCTAGCATTCTGGCCCATGCAGGCATTGCGCTCACGCTGTTGCGTTGCTGTGCGAGATGCTGCATGCTGCATTAGCAGCCACGGCGCGTGTGGGCGCTTGTGAGGAGAGGGGGGCGCTGCTGGGCAAGGGAGCGCAAGCAGCCATAGCCGGTCTGCAAGTCGCTAGGGAGTAAGGGGCGATCGGTGGTCTTCAGGAAGGAGGCGAGTGTGGGTGGTCAGGGTCTGATGAGGGGAGACGAGATACGTATCTGGTGCATGAGGGGAGGTCGGCTATGGTGTTGACATCATGTACACTGGTCTTCGAAGTTGAAGTTAGCCTGTTGCGTGAATGCAGCTGTGGTAGGATAGGCAAGTAGTGTAGGCTGGGCGCTGGGCGCTGGGCGCTGGGCGCCAGACAAAGAGGAGCGACATTGGATACTGTGTTGGTGTGGCCTGAGGGCTTGAACATTGGCTAAAGAGTTCATTTATTGCCCTTATTTGGATGGAATCTTGGTGCAGGTGTGCTCTCTGGTTGTACATGACATCTTGGACATCTGTGTGATTTCGCAACTTTAGCTTTTTGTATATCGTTCTTACTCATATACCTTGCACATATAAGAGTATGCGCAACAAATTTTGATTTTGGAAACGAGAATCCCGAAACTCGGCTGCAAAGAGAGATTTTTCAAGAAAAATAAAATTTCGGAATACTAGAGCAACGAAAAATTGAGTTTCCGAAAAATAAAAGAAACTCGAAATTTTCAGCTACTAATTAATGCTGCACGGAATATGAGCGAGAGCGATATACAGAAAACCAAGTTGCATAATCACGTAGATGTCCAGATAGTCATGTACAAGCAAAGACCATAAATGCACTGAGATTCCATCCAAATAAGAGCAATACAATGAACTCGTGAGCCAATGTTCAAGCCCTCACACCACACCGACACAGTATTCAATGTCGCTCCTCTTTGTCTGGCACCCAGTGCCCAGCCTACACTACTTGCCTATCAACTACAGCCACATTCATGGAACAGGCTCACTTCGACCTTGAAGACCAATGTACATGACATCAACACCACAACCGACCTCCCTCATGCACCAGGTACGTATCTCGACCTCCCTCATGCACCAGGTACGTATCTCG